TTTCACTTGTTATAACCCACCTTCTAGGAAGATAAATTTTGCTAGATATGTTTCTAATGTTTCTAACGAATGCTTAACCATTGTACAATGATCCTATAGTCGCCTTTTTCTGACCAATCAACTTGCTTGCATTTCATTTTCTCCATCAATGTCTAGACAGGATTTTAGCGCTCTCTGATTAAAAACACATTTTGTTTTCTGAGAATCATCCAGATATAAAGTGACGCCATTTTGAATGCTTAGAGATTCCAATGTTTGCTTTTTTATTCGGCTTCCGGAGACGCCGATATAGAACTTGCTTCTATAATCCACCTCGGTTTCAGACGTTTAGTTTCATATATATATATATATATATATATATATATATGAAAATTTCTCTGATTTAACCAAGTAGCGAAGACAATAATATTTATGAATAAAAAATGACAATAGGAAAACTGGTAATTGCTGACGCGTTTCGTCCAATGTGGACTTTATCAAAGCTTTGATAAAGTCCACATTGAACGAAACGCGTCAGCAATTACCAGTTTTCCCATTGTCATTTTTATTAATATATATATATATATATATATATATATATATATATATACAGAGAGAGAGAGAGAGAGAGAGAGAGAGAATAAAATGAACATAAGAGAAGAAAAATAGGAAACATTTGGCCAAATGAAAAAGTTATTGTTCGCTCCTCCTTCACTACCTGATCCGGTGATTGAACTCACGACCAATAGATGACAGTAAAACATGTACCGGGGGGGTGTTGTAGGGAGCAGAAATACATACCTTTTTCATATACCTACGAGAAATACCTCCCACATATACCACCCAAAAACACCTCCAACATATACCCCGAAAAAATACCTCCCACATCTATCTCCTACATATACCTCCAAAAAATACCTTTCAAATATACATCCGAAAAATACCTCCCAGAAATACCTCCTACATATGCCTCTCACATATACCTATCAGAAATATCTTTCATATATACCTGCGAGAAATGCATCAGAGAAATAATTCCCACGTATACCTCCCAGAAATACATTTCATATATACCTCCAGGAAATACCTCTGAAAAATACCTCCCACATATAGCACCCTGAAATACCTCCTACAAATACCTTCCAGAAAAATCGCCTACATACACCGCCCATAAATACCTCCCACATATATCATTAATATATAATTCCGAGAAAAGGGACTTTTGATCCGACGTGCTGTACCATTTAGCTACAGAGAAGCAATGTTTGAATTACTGTTTATAAACTCACTATCTTCGACGGTTTTTCTCTGCTCACGAAAGCTATATCTGCAGCTGCATAGTATAGCACATCAGATCAAATGACGGTTTCCGTATAGATGTATAAAGTTCAATTACAACCGGAGAACGCACATTTTCTATGAAATTTCTCGAAGATTCAAGCCGGTAAATGTAATTCATACTGTTTAATACCTGTCACTGGATTTAACTATCCTCAAGGACACATGGCACAGTGGATAAAGGCGTTAGTTAGATCCAGTGACAGGACCCAAAGAGTGTGAGTTCAATACCTGCTTAAGGCAGTGAAGAACTTGGAGAGGGGAATTAACACGAGATAACTGATAGCTGACATCGACTAAACAGGGCAGGTGGAACTAGAACAGTCTACCACAGTGAAGGAAATAAAGGGTTCAGTTCGACATTCCAACCACCTGAAGAAGACCGGGTGTACAACGGCCGAAACGTTGTAATAAATATGGTGACAAAGATGAGGACAATAGTCCGAATAATGTAATATTGAATTAAGTAGACCACGTGACCAAAGAGGAAACGCATAAGTAGGAAGTCGCGTGACGTCTAAATGATCGTTATTTCTAGTCTATCCTCTAAACTATACGGATCGTTATTTCTTTTCTATCCTCTATTACTATACGAACCGCTCTTAACTATACTATTTATCTCTTCAGATCACCATGCAGTTACTGTCCGAGCGAGTACTATCAAGCATTGCTATTAATGTGAGTGTTATTCGAAGGCATATGACACCAGTATTGTTCAACGGCGTTACTATAGTCGTAATCTGCTATTGCAATGTCTCTACTACAACGATAATTACGAAAGTGACAATGACTATTCTTTGGCATTACAAAAGTGGCAACGAGTGTTTGTTGACATCACAAAACTCAGTAACACATTGCGTCTTAGTGGTGTTATTGACTTGCATGATTAAGCAAAAAGACAACAAATCAATCAATCCATCTGCCTGCTAACGACCAGATTCATTGTCTAAACATGGCTCTACATCCTTTCTCGCTGAACAGCTTGTGACTAACTTATTCTAACGAAGACTCTGCGTGTATATAAATACTCATTCGAAATTCCCAATATTCCGACCTATTGTCACTTGATCCCGAATTCTTTCGTTTATTCATTTGCTTTACTTCCCGTCTCCCTAATTTTGAACAGCGGGTGACCGGGCGAACATTTCATGTCTTAACTGTTGGTCATAAAACGCCAGCTTCTTAAGTACTGAACAAAATCATTTAGAGCATGCTTGCCTTCATGGGTGGTCTTTTCATGGTCAGCTTCTATATTGTCACCACAAATGTAAAAGTTTCGCGGCAAACATGGATGCTCGTCCTCGCAATAAGATGGGGGTTTCAAAAGGGACTTTTTTTTCCCCATGATACCGTTTATATTTTAATTACCATCACTCTCCGGTAATATTTATTGTTTTAGAAAGTGATGATTAGAATTGTAACAACACCTTAACATAAAATAATTTTATATTGACAACATTCTAAAAACTAATAAAATTAGAACTAAATGCAATTCGATATTATTCATTTGCCAATTTATAAAGAAATAAATATGAAGACACTTTTTTTTATTTATAAATTTATAAACATTTACTAAATTATTAAAATATATGAACGAACTATAAGGAAATCTTTATTATTTACCCTTTTATAAAATTCAAAACGATTGGCAATTAGCCGAAGCTAAAAGAGTCTAATAGTGTTTATCAATTCTGTTGCCATTCTCAAGAACTAAAGGAGAATCTGCCTATATTTCTGAGATGAGGTATTGTAACTATTTCCACTATTTACATTGTTCGGACCGTTGTCCTCATCTTTAGTGTCATATTCACATCGTTTCTTCCGTTGTAGGCTCCGGCCTTATTAACGATCTGTCTATATTTATAAGATGGGTTATCTTAATTATTTACATTGTTCGGAGTGTTGTCTTCATCTTTATTACCATATTCATGACGTCTTGCCCGTTGTACGCTCCGGCCTTCCTCATGATCTCTCTATATTTCTGAGATGAGTTATTGTAATTATTTACATTGATCGGATGGTTATCATCAACTTTATTGCCATATTCACAATGTTTGGTTTTTGTACGCTTCTTCTTCTTCAAGTGATTGGAATTTCAAACTTAACCCTCTCCACCGGGGTAGACTGTTCGATTTCGACGTGTCATGCCTCTTCCGGATATATTCCTTTCAAGTTTTTGTTCAGCAGTAGCCAAGAATTGAACACACAAATCTTTCGGTCAAGTAACTGTGTCCAACAAACGCTCTTATCCACTGGGCCATGTGTCTTTGAGGGAATCAGTGTATGATTTTTGAAACTCAATGTCTCAGTGGCCATTTTTTTTTTACCGGAACTCATATTGCATTTTTTTTTTTTTTTTGGTACTGTTTTTCTCTGGTACCTCGTATTACTGGTTCCCGTATTGGATTCATTTCTATACTTGGTCGGCTCAGGAGATTTTTGTGGCCTAGCATATGTTCTGATTCTTTAAGTTTTCTTATTTTCCAGTGATGTTCTCGGTTTATTATTTCAACAAAGGAAATGTATAAATTCATTTTCATACGTTTAGGTTTTATTCCAATTCTAATCATCACGTTTTAAAAGAATAATAGCATCATAGCCCGGCGTTGCCCGTGCTTGATTCAAAAATCGTACGACTCATACAGCAATCGCTATCACTTGACTTAAAATATTTTTGCCCTTCCTTGCCTTTAAAGGAGTGCCCTTTGCCGTGATGATGTTGCTACATGCCTTACTTCTTGCCTATCTCACCCTGTGAATTTTTTAGCTCTATACTAAACATTAAATCTGTTACGAAAAAAGAACTAAACAAAATGAACACAAAACGATCAGCTTTAAAAAAGGATTTGTAACTGGAAAACTGAATGAAAAAAGAATGTTAACAACAAATACTTTTTGACACCCAACCCAGTTCTGCGGAATCAGAATCAACGTTGAGTTTAAGCAAGTGAATGAGCCAATTGGAGTAAAGTGCCATGCAGATTTAAATTTTTCCCACTTGTGACGAATGCAGCTATCGATTTTTTTTGCATGCTAGCATGCTAGTTAACATTCGTGCCAGTCAGCTGTTGGCTCTCACGCTGGCCAATAGAATCTTCCTGCCTATTCGTGACAGCCAGCTATAGGCTCTCTCTGGCCAATCAAAATGGCCAAACTACAAAAACTGCCGTAGAAGCATGAAAAAATCGAATTTCCACTATCGATGGGAGTTGGGAAAACTGCCGTTGGAGCATGTGCATGTAAATTTTGAAAATCGAAAATTGCGGTTATTTTATACCACCATCCTGATGGACAGAGATTATCGGAAATACTAAGATAATTATTTGACATGCAACGAAAACCTCATTAGATATTGACTATACATTGAGGAGGGTTATGGTCTATCTTGGTACGCAAGGAAGCGGCGACTCAAAAAGTTTGGGAGCCCCTGTTTTATAAACTCATTAAGTAACTTTTGTGCATGTAAATTTTGGTGCAAATCCGTCGCAAATTGCGGCCGAGCATTCGTTACACACACACACACACACACACACACACATCGTCTTTTATAGATAATCAGGGTGGTCCGAAAGTCTTGTCATACTCTACCAAAATGAAAACAATGGAACAAATAATATAGTAATACAAAGCACATGTACTTGATTTGGTTTATATACTTATATAATATTCTTATAGGTAATCAAATGAAATGGTGTGAAAAAGTGAGGGATCACTTTTGTTTTTTATTTTGTATTAATTATTGGCCATGATACAGGGTGGTCCGAAAGTCTTATCACCCAGTACCAAAATGGTTTTGAGAACAATAAAACAACAAGTAATACAGTAATACACAGCACATGTACTGAATTCATTTTATTCTCTTTCATTGATGCTGTCACACATCGAGAAGATCTGTATGAAGACTATCATTTTCGTGCCAGCCATCTGAAATAAAAAAATTATACTATGTAGGGGTGACAAAACATTCGGAACAGCGTGTAGATTCATAGATGAAATTACAAAACATTCTCATCGGTAATCAAATGAAAGGTTGACAAAAAGTGAGGGATCAGTTTTAGTTCTTTAGTATTAAATATATCCCCCGTTTTTGGCCTTGTTATAGTGTGGTCCGAAAGTCTTGTCAAAAAGCTAATGAAAACAATATGTTTGCCAGTTGCGGAATGTCTTTTCCATCATTGAAAAGCAGAATAAACAAAATTATTATTCGGGTTTATTTATTCATATTCAATATGGCAGCCATTGTCTCCACCATGTTTTCTTTTCTTCTGTACTTGAATTATCTTTTTCTGTTCTTGAAACCCAGAGGAAGAAAAAAAAAACAGTTTTCTCTGCATTTTAATGCAAAATATCGCCGTCAGCAGATTTTATTTTATTTTATTTTATTTTTGCAAGGTTGCTCAAAAGCATTAACCTTCTTAAATGAAGAAGGTTACACATTAACCCACTTAAAAAAGCGTCTTTCTTTCCCAAAAGCTACATAGCGAGCGCTCCCTAAAGGATAAAATTTGATAAAGTTTTAAAACAATTTAAGCTGTTTACCGAGTTATATTTTTAGGATTTCAATTTCTTTTGTTGCCTTTCTCCCTCTCCCATTCTATTTCAAATTTTTCTCTCTTTCCCTCCGCTCTCTCTCGCACTCTGATATTTTTCTCTATTTTGCTATATGTCGTCTTTCTCCTTTTCACATTGTCTCTTCTCTATACACACTCTCTGCTTTAGCTTTCTCGTTCTCTCTTTCTTGTCTCTCTCTCTCTCATTCTTTTATCTCTCTCTTCTGTCTCTTTTCTCTCTCTCTCTCTCTCTCTCTCTCACATCTCTTTCTTTCTATATTTCTCGCTAGATTTCTCATTTAAGTTCCCATCTCTCTTTCCTTTGTACTTTTCTTCTTTCACATACAGACACACACACACGTACACGTCCTTCTCTATTTCTTCCTCTCTATTTCTCCTCCCACTTTTCTTGTCTTTCTTCTTTCTTCTTTCTTCTCACTCACTTTTCTCTCGTTATTCTCTTATTCTTTTTCCCTTTCTTCTCTCTCTCTCTCTCTCTTACTTTCTCTCTCTCTTACTTTCTCTCGCTTTTACTTACTCTCTTTCTCTCTCTTTTTTAATCTTCTTACTCTCACTCTTTCTCTCTCTTACTTTCTCTCTTACTCACTTTCCTTCTTTCTTACCCTTTTTTACTCTCGCTCTCTTACTTTGTCTCTCTCTTTTAACGCTCTCTCTTATTCTCTCTCTCACTCTCTTCTTCTCCCCTACTTTCACTCTATCTCACTCTCTCATTCTCTCTCTCTATTACTTTCTCTTACTGTCTTTCTCTCTCTTACCCACTCTCTTCGTCTCCCCCCTCTCTCTTACTCTTACTCTCTCTTTAACTCACTCTCTTTTACTCTCTATCCCTCTCATCGTTTCGTTAACAAAAGAAACGGGGAGTGATAATTAGAGAGAAATAGAAGATTTATATTTGGTAAGAGCTACAAACGCCAGGAAATTGTGGAGAGCCATGATCACAAACGTCCTGAAGGAGAATTAAATAATGAATCCGTTCCCCATCTAAGATTTATATATATATATATATATATATATATATATATATATATATGTGTGTGTGTGTGTGTGTGTATATATATATGTGTGTGTGTATATATATATATATATATATATACACACACACACACATATATATACACACACACACATATATATGTGTGTATATATATATATGTGTGTGTGTGTATATATATATACACACACACATATATATATATATATATATATGTGTGTGTGTGTGTATATATATATATATTACTAGCTTAAAAGCCGCTCTATCGGGCGGCATTTAAGCTAGCTCTAAACAACAATTTTCATCAAAACAATGATATAATTTATGTATTTGGAACTTACTGGAAAACTGCATGATAAACGACATGGCTTTCCCATTCGGGGGTCTGTACAAATAGCTTGTTTCCATTCTTAACCCTTGAACAACCAACATAGAGCTGGCCGTGAGAAAATCAGGGTACCATCAGATGAAGTCTAGTTGCTTTCAATGATTATCCTTTGGAGTTATTGATTGATACTGCATAGCTCACTCTCACTGGAAACTGAAGTCTTTTGAACTCAAAAGGAGGATTTGGAGGAGTTAAGGGTGTTCTTGGAATTTAAACTCTTTAACCATTTCCTGGACCAGTAAGGATCTCTGCTCCCAAGAGGCGAGGAAGCATCCTCTTGACCTGGTTTCATTGCAAAGCTTTGGAGGAGCCAGATTTATCAATTGCATGACTGGCACATTTTTTGTTCCGTCTCGTGTGATGGCATTCCAGGATGATTCAATGAGTTCAGGAATTCTATGGGATAATTCGCTGCCACATGGGTTGGCATGTTGGCCTTCTTCGTAAGCTTTAATGGTACGGTATTACACAAAGACATTTTGATTTAATATTAGGCGGGTGCAAAAATTTTGACGTATTTTTTAACGTCAAAGAACGACATTATTACGTCATTATTTTTGCACCAACCTAATAAAATCATTCTCGTCAAACCGTGAAATGAAGTTCGTCCTAAACGGGTTCTCATCCGGTTCCTTTATCAGAAACGCCGGTGTTCCCCAAGGCTCCATCTTGGCCTTACGCTATCTTCATCAGCTGCCTTCCTGATGTCATCAGTTCCCAAGTAGGCATCTACGCGGACGACACTACTATTTACACCTGCCTCAATAGAAAATCTGAACTAAAACTAACCTGGCTGTTGAAGTTACAAAGGACCACTACTCTATGGTTGACTGGGGCAGGAAATGACCTGTAAACTTTAATGCCTCCAAAACAAAACTGCTCTCCTTTACACACCACAGAGAACTCTTCCTGCTTCTCATCAGAATGGCTGATTCCCAACATCTGGGGAGCGCTTCATTGCGCCTGCTTGGTCTCACGCTGTCCACTGACATGAGGCGGAATAAATACATTGAATCAATAGCTTCATCTACCGAAAGGAAAGTTGTTTCTCTGTGTCATGCCAGAAAGTTTTTCTCGTCTGAGTCCATCCTTCCAATCTATAAATCAACCATTCGTCCTTGCATGGAATATTGCTGTCATATATGGACTGATGCTCCTGCTGTACGTCTCGATGTCCTTGATAAAATACAGAGACAAATATACAATACTAGCAGTAGAGCCCGGCGTTTCCCGGGTATGTAACAGTAAGAGATAGATCAACTATCGACCATCATAAAGACTAAAAAATAAAATTGACAAAGATTATTGTTTAAGGTTGATGGACACATGTCTTAATTAGTTTTTTTTTCTTTTCTTTTTTTTTTTACGAATTGGTCAAACTCAAACAAAAACATTGTTTTCAATCGTTATGAGTCTACCGATTGAATAGAATTTTATTATAAACAATTGTCTTGTAAATGGAATTTTTAAAGCATTCTGAATCTAAAAATAAAGAAAAAAATGTGCAAGACAATAAGAAACACTACCTGCCAAAAAAAAAAGTTTTGTTGAAATCGGTTGAAAAATGTAGGAAATCCGATCCCATATATAAACGAACACAGAGATACACACAAACAACCTGGGTTTTATGATAAGTATAACTCGATATGAGTTGTCCCCCTTTCATTCTCACGATTCCTCTTAATTGTGTTTTCAAATTGATTTTGTGCAAAAACAATTGTGTTTTTTTTTTCAATTTTGGGCGCTGTCAAAACCACCGCAAGGTAATTTTACGTAGTCCTGTGAAGTTTTGTTGAAATCAGTTGAAAAATGTAGGAAATCCGATCCAATATATAAACGTACACACACACACACACATACATACACACAACCTGGGTTTTATAATAAGTATGATGATAGATCCTGACTGGCATCTAGTTTACAATCGCTTTCCCACAGACGTGCCGTAGATTCCTTCTGTCTCTTCTACAAATATTTTCACGGCAACTGTTCCGACGAGTTACTTTCGCTGGTCCCCGGACTGCATGAATTTAAGCGAACTACCAGGCTAGCATCTCGGTTCCAACCTTCCACAGTCGAAACGGTTAAATGTAACCGCATCTTCTACTCAAACAGCTTTTCTCTCGTACTTCCCGTCCGTGGAACTCCCTTCCTTTTACTTGCTTCCTTGATGACTATAATCCTCAGATATTCAAGTGTAATGTCAATCGACATCTGACATCCTGAGTTTGTTCCCCGTCCTTCTCTCTATACTTTCCTCAAACATGTCGCTTTACTCTTGATCTCTGTAACCCCTTGTATGCTCGTCGCCCTCCCTCCTTGCTTACGGTGAATTGCTGAATATATATATATATATATATATATATATATATATATATATATATATATATATATATAAAGAAAGAACAGTGAGATATATAATCCGGTGTTCTTATAGATATTTTTATTTGTACAAAATAGTGCTCAATGTAAATTTACAGAGCATTAATATAAATTAGGAGCTTTTAGCTTCCATTTTTGAAACATGGTTAGAACTGTGTAGCGAAAAAACATATTTTAAATCAAATTTATAATTATATATATATATATATATATATATATATATATATATATATATATAATTCATCGAGTCTGAAACCTCAACAGAATGCAGAAAGCACTATATTTGGGAATTATCAGCAGTGCGCATCCACTACCGAGAATTGAAACCCTAACAGTTAGGTTGTCAAGCAAATATCATATCTAATCAGACTTAATATAGTGTCTGATAGTCTTATTTGCTATCTCTTCGTCATCGAGGCCCGTTGGAACAGTTGGTATGATGTTTGCTTGACAATTTGAGAAAAGTACTTTTTTTCCATTTGAATATGAGCTATTGAAAGGTAGAGAGTTGCGTCCCTTTAATTGCTTTTATCAGTAGAAGCCAAGACGGCAAAACCGCAAACATTCCTAATGAAAACTTAGGAATCCAAAATTTCAGGATCGACGGTCCAGATCCGACCTGAAATGATTTTATTTTGCTCACGGAGTCGGCCTGATTCCAAAATGATATGATATGTTCGGCTATAGCTTCGAGAAGTAAGGTTGAAAAATGTGACACAGTGATAGTTGCATTTAT